TCATTATTATCATTCATAATGACATACGGACAATAGAAGTACAATAACTTGGCACCCGAGTACGACACCATCAACAAGACCGGCGAGGGTGCCTGGCATCAACAACAACTTTTTTTTAATACGTGGCATTGAGGAACAAATTAAACCTTTGTGATGTTGAACACTAAAATGACTGACATCGAGTGGAATGTTGAGAATGAGATCCAGTTGTTTTATGCCATGATGGGCCACAAGCCAGTAGGTTAGTGTATGCTGTTTCATGTGGGTTTTAATGTTTCATGTGGGTTTTAGTGTTTCATGTGGGTTTTAATTTTCCATGTGGGTTTTAATGTTTCATGTGGATTTTAATGTTTCATGTGGGTTTTAATTTTCCATGTGGGTTTTAATGTTTCATGTGGATTTTAATGTTTCATGTGGGTATTAATTTTCGTTTTGTTTTGTTTTGTGTAGGCATGAGGCATGAGGTACCTGAAGACAGCTATAGACTATAGAATGTACAGGAGTTTAAAACCCTATAAGAGAAGAAAGGAGAAGATTAAGACTGCTGAGAATACAATTTGATATTTCGAGATGAGATGGGAGATCATTTGGAAATGGGAGATTTTGTGTATAATTCTCTGAAGTCTCTAAAATCTCCCTTTTTGTTGTGTCTATTGAGGATGAAATATTCTAAAATATGAAATCCTGGTGTCATGAATTTTATTTTAAATTACGAATACCTTTTATGCATATATTTGTTTAAGTTCCTCTGGTATGATGCACCAAAATTTGATGTGATATATAACTACGATATCAAAGCAAGCGCAGGTTTTATGGTGACATTATGATTTCATTACAATTTATTAACCCTTCAATGACGGTATCAGAAATCTCTCGCTGACTCCAGTGACTTCTGACAACCATCTTGCCATTTGGCCCGGGAGTTCACCACACTACTTTCTCCTTGACACTCAAGTGTGTCACAACACCTGGCATGATTAGTGGGTTTGTTATGATGGCTATAAGCATGGCCAAATAGATATGGGTTAATAGCTTTCGTCTGGTTAATCTATAATTATTATTATATTTCCACACATGTGTCATACAAGGTTTTCACCCACATAAAGAAATCAATTTTGTTATAGTTTCAATTTTGTACTGCCATATATTACAAGGTAAAATTTGTCTGTAATGGACAGAATGACTGGTACAACCTTCACAAATTGATAATAAGAAAGTTGTATAACACATAAGGTTTTGGTATACATTTATCACTAAATGTTGCGGTGGTAGTAACTCCACAGCGATTGGGTGGGGGTCTGGGGGCAGAGCCATGGATAGGGAAGTACAGTTATTTGATGGGGGTCTGAGGGCAAAGCCACCGGATTAGGAAGGTTTTTGGTTCTTACAGTGATGTCTGTGGATTTTCCAGGAAAGGCTGGAGTAATAGTCTCAGAGGAGTAAAATCACTCTGTAAACATTACCAATACTTTCATTATATTACAGTTATTAAAATCAAATTTATGCATACTACAGCAATGATAATTGGATGAAGGAATAATAATTTCAAGATTGGATGGCTGTGTGAAACTGAAAAATTAACTAAATTTCTCAATTAGAAATAGTGAATTTAGTAAAGAAAATAAAATTCTTCACATACCTAGCCATATTGATACATGGGTAATGTCTACAATAAGATGAACATTTTCATTTCTATGGAAAATAGATACTAGGGGTCTAATTGTATATTTGCAACTAGGAAATATGGAGAAAAGAGATAGGTGAAATTAGCTTTAAGTGCTTAGCATTTAGTTTGGTAATTTTATAGTTTCATCCAGTTGAGCACTATATTTTTCTGGTAATATATGTAGTACCTTGATTGATCTTGTGCTTCTTTTTCCAGTACAAATACTTAGCTTTTGAGTTATGTCTACCACTTCATAATTATACTAGAATCTTGGAGAACCTGTGTGATATCAGGTATAAAATAAATCAAAACATAACTTGCATCACCAGAAAGACATATAACACATCCAGTAATCGTTGGTTGAGTTAAATTGTAAATTGTCAACCTAACCTAACCTAACCACCCTAACATAGCATAACCTCATGTGAAACATATATTATTAAATTTCATTCTCCTCCATCCAAAAACTCTGATATCTCACAGGTTCCCCAGGAGATTTGTATGAGAATGTAGGCAGAACAGGAAAACTAGAAAATTGTGACAAGATAAAGGTATAAAATCAATCAAAGTAGTATATGACATGACAAGGGGCACATCAGAAACCTGTGGTTGAGTGAAACCGTAGATTGTCCACTTATCCTAACCAACCAAACCTTACCTTACCTCACTTGAAATGCATATTACTCAATTATTTTTATTGTAGGTTATTGTTCAGATGCAAGAACAACCTCATCGGATAAGGCTTGAGATTTTTTTTCAATTTTCTTTGAGCTGCACTGAATGATTTTGACCTTCGGTTTTATTGGAAATAATCTTTTTATTGTCAGTTTATCTTTGTAAGATGGGGGGTAATTCATAAAATGAGTGATTTCTGCTGGACATTACCTTGCCAATAGAAGAATGAAAATCACAAGAACTCAGTAGCATCATGAGAAAGTGGTAGAGAGTGGTTCTCTCTCTCTCTCTCTCTCTCTCTCTCTCTCTCTCTCTCTCTCTCTCTCTCTCTCTCTCTCTCTCTCTCTCTCTCTCTCTCTCTCTCTCTGTTTGGATATGTATTCATAATTAAACATTAAGATTAATGATAGTTAAATATGACATTGAAACATGATTAAAATAATTTGACAATTTTGGAGGATCCTGTTCCAATTCAATATTTAATTATCATCCGGCAGCCAATTGACTTGGAGGAACTTTCATTATGTTATATTTTACAGATCAAATAACAATAGGCTCTCTTGATATCAAAAATGTATTTTCAAGTCCCCAGGTGAAGAGGATTTTGATATTTGTCTACAGTTTCAAAATTGCTTTTTTTTACTCCACAGGTGTGAATAAACACTTCCAAATGATGATTATTCATGACAAGCTTAGTTCCTCTCTTAACTGTGAATTATCAACACAAACGATATGGAAGAAACTGGAGACACTATACGACTTGGCTGCCTTGGTAAGTCTGTATGCCTCGTGATGCTGTCATTATATATATTGTGAATGCTAGTGGGTGAAAGATACATAATTAATCAAGAAACTTATTCTAGGTCAGGTGAAGTAAGCAAACTAACGCTAACCAAATTATTTTCCAGGATGAGTCGGATAAACTACCCTTTCCAAACGATGAGAATGATTTTTGTCTCCCAGATATAGAGTTTTCTGATCTTTTAGATGAAAGGGTAAAACCGGATGATAAAGAAGAGAAGGAAATTAGAGCCAGAGGAAGACCACCCAAGAAAGAGGATAGGGACAAGGATGATGGTTAGTGACTCCTGTTGTTTTGTGCAACTTTTTGTAGCACCAAATATGTAGTCAGCTTTGGGATTTTGATGTAAGAATATTTGTCTGCTATAACTACTGTTGCAAATGAAGCACATCCTTTGCACATTTACTGTTTAGTTAGAATTAATTCTTATTTTATTTGGAAATTACTTCATAAATAAGAATAATTTCAATGAATATTACTTGAGTATAAAAAAAATAAATAATTAAGAAATACAAATTTAATATTCTAAACCAGCTAGATTTCTACATACTTGCAAATCTTCCCGCAGTCTCCAGCAGGCGAGACCGAGTCCGAGAGGTCAGAGACGAGGACGACGACACTCCCCGCAGGCAAGGCAAGCGCGGCCGTGACTCTAAACCTTCCTCCCCAGCCCACACTCCAACTTCCAACAAGAGACGCAGAAATTGACTGAAGTTATTTTTAATGGCATTGGGTATTACTTTTTGGTCACGTTTGGGGGTTTGAAGAACTTCGTTATGTTCTTGAAAATAAGAAATGTAAGGCACTATGGCAAGATTTTGATAGTGTATAAAGTAAACATTTTATTTCTTTGTGTAATATTTTGTATATGCAAAAAGTGTATATGAAATATGCAATACAAAGAAGTCAAGGTACAACTATATTAGGTAATCAATCTCAATGATTTTATTGATGCCAAAGTATTCATTTTGTTTATATTTTTGTATGTTTGTTTTAAGGAGTCTGATGTAAATATATATTATGAAATTTAAATGAAATACAGAACAAGGGAATTTCAATTTTCTATTATACATTTTTGAGAGCAGGGATAGGAAGGGTTACTATGATAATTGCTACATAATTTATTTTCTTAAAATATGGTTTAAAAAATAACTTACTGCAATGCCTTATGTAAATGAAAAATATAAGCACTTCACCATGACAGGAATCTGACTTAATATTATGAAAGAAAGAATGCCATGTAAACACACTCATTTAACAGACAAATGGCCTAGGAAAATGATATATATATATCATTTTTCCTCTCTCTTTGCTTACCATGTATGAGAGGCTTTTTGCATAAAACCTTCCTTGTGTTTTTTTCATGGGGGTGGAATTTTATGTATATAATTTATCCTAGTTATGTATTGTAGCTGATCAATCATTTCATGTCTTAGCCTTCAGATTCCATGTGAAGTTTGTGATGTTTTCAGTGATAGATAATCATCTCATTTATTTATGCCATCAGAGATCATGGTTTTGGAAGTAATCATTAGATGAGTTCAGTGTTTTATGTATATTTTGAGGAGGAAATATAGATATCCATTTTTTTTTATATTTAAAATTTGGTTACTAGCATTTTAATTTTTTTACCAACCATCTGATACACATTTTGACATTGTGCTATGTTTACTTCAGTGGCTTTTTACACCAATGATTTATAAAAGTTTATGAGCATTAGTGGAAGAAGGAAAATGCCAAAATAATCATTTTGAAACTGGCTTCAGGATTTGATCGAGATCCTGCACATCAAAGCATTTTTATGTTAATGTAATATTTGCCTTGGAGAGTCTACTGATAAACAAAGAGCACAGGTGCATATGTTCATCATCATCACTGCCGTTTTAGATATAAGTCACTCATTAAACGCAGGTTGGTATAAAGTATGAGAAAGATAAAGCACTGTCTCTACATAATGAACATGTTATGTGCCATCCATAAAGGGGTGTTAGCATTAGGCCTTAGAATACCTTTGGATAACTAGTAATACTAATATGCTGGGGAGTAAAAAAGAGATTTGAACATTCTCATTTTCATTCCCAGATAGACTGTTTCATTCCTTAAGTTTATCAGATATATGTGCTTGACAATTTGTTACAGATAATTTATATTTTCTGTATCTTTTCTGATATTATTTACAAGTCATTAGCATTATTAAAATTCCTATATTCAGGTGAATGTTTTTTACCCTGTATATTTATTCTTTCTTTTTTTAATTTCAAATAAATTAATTTCTCTTACTCATAGGATTTTATTGAATATAGAAACTTGCTGTTGTCCAGAGAAGGTCTGATACATTTTTTATGTTTCCTTTTTTTATAATTAAACTATAAACTATAGGAATTTGCCTTTCCCTTCACACCCCCCTTGCATCTATTAATAAAATTCCCTCCCAGATTTTTAAGTAAATTATAGATATGTTCTTAGTATTTTTATTGGATATGAATTAGTCATATTAGTATTCAACTTCTCAATATTTGATCATGCTCTTGTTAACAGAATCACAAATATAATTGAAAATTTTGCTGCTTACTTCCCAAGGGCTCCCTTGAAAATTAATGATGCCCTATCCAGGTTAATAATAATAATAAAAAATCAACAACAACAATTACTTTGTCTAAATCACAAGGAAGATTCTTCCCCCCCTCATCCCTTGCTTGATGTTGTTGGGGGGCTTAAGACGGTGACTGAAGCCCCATTGTAGGGGATCACCCCTACTTTGGACTCCATCTCCTGCACAGTCTCCTTCATTGTATACCCCACCCCATTATTACTGCTCTTCATCCTTATTGTCCTCCTCCCAACAGTACTACCTCTCTCCATACCACCCCATCTTCCTCCTGCCCTCATCTTTTTACTGCTTCCACCTCTGCAAATCTTTTGAGTACCCTTTTTGGCCCAGCCAAGGGGGATCAATTCTTTGTGATTCCCCCTACAGCCCCATACTCTGATAGTACCCTTCTCTTCTAACGATGTCTCCCAAAACAGTCATTCCGATTGTTCACGCCCTGTCACAGTTATATCAGAGTCCCAAGCTTGTGCACTACTCATTTATTGAATTCTCTGCCACATCAACATCTGAGGTCATTAGCAGTGTATACAAAATATAATGACAGGGTGGGGCTTGGGGGCGAAAGCCCCCAGGTAAGAAAGTTTTTTGGTTCAATAAGGCAATGTTTGTGGGTTTCCAGTATGGTCAGTGGTCAAAACAAACAAATGTGCCAGACATCAAAGGTCACACATCATTAATAAGGTAATGTGGCAAAGAGGGTAAAAATGAGTTAATGATCAGGGTAAGTGGACAGACGAAGGGGCTGACGAGAGAAGAGAAGAGAAGAGAAGGAAAAGAAAATGGGGAGAAGAAAAGACCCTGCAAAATTAGTTGAGGTGAGGGCTGAGGCCCAAGATGGGTGACCCCCTACATTGGGCCACAGTCCCCACCTCCTAATCCTCCTAATTGCCAAGATTAGCTTCTGTAGACATGACCTCCCTGGTGAAGTTTGTATTGGTGGAGTGTCCTGCCCTGTCTGACTATGTCATCCTCTTCCCCATCAATGTCAGAAATATTGATGTTTTGACCACCCGGCCAAACACTATCTCTCCACAGCCCACAGCTCTCTATGTGCCCAATCTGGTCATGACCATTCAAATTGCTCTGCTCAGTCACACAGGTGTGCCAATTGTGGTGGTTCCCATAATGTGTATTATTGGAGCAACCCTGCCTACTAGCTCAAATATGATGTAGCAGTTCTCATATTCAAACTAGGCCTCACTTCAGATAAGAAGCATGCCAAGGAGGTCTTTCTCTTTCACCAGACAATCTAAATGTTCCACTCCATCTTCCCCTACCACATCGTCTCCTACACCCACCTCTCCCTCTGTTCCTTGGACATCTATTCCCTCTTCTCCTCCACATAAGAAAACCTTTGTTGCTCAGACCTCCCCACCCAGCAATCCTCCAGAATCTATTGATTGAAGAATCTAAAAGTTCCTAGACCCTCTAATTCCTCTATTCTTGTTTTCTCTTCATTCAAAGTATTTGCCAATATCCATTTTCTCCCCCTTCCTCCCACTCACCCAATAAACACCCCATCTTTTCCTCCTCCATGGGCATAAGCATTCCCTCTTCCTTCCCTCATTATTCTCCCTACTCCTAGATACTCAGGTAACTCCTCTATGTCACAACAGCGTTCTTCTCTGGATCCCTCTCCTCCTGACTTTCATGTCTTACCATATTACCCTTTGACTGTTTTATAATTGCTCTTTTGCAGGTTACTTCATACAGTGTTACTCTCCCTTCCTTGGACACATACTCTCC